TACACAAACGTTTGAGCAAAAAACGTTGAGCGCAAACATTTAGCTTTCGATGTGGAATTCTATAATTGCATTGACCAGTGCACCACCATAAATATATTTGAAGATACATGTCCAACAATGATAGAAACATATGATTTAAAGAATATGAATGGTCGCAATCTTTATATGAAATCCGACATCAGTGGGTAGATGTATATTTACAAGATTACTTCTTTACTGACAATTAGACAAGTGGAAGAAGTGAAGCTAAGAATAAAGCCATCAAGGCATATGTGAATTCATATACCAACTTGACTACATTTGTAGGCAAACTGTAATAATTAATTGGCAAAAAGTTTTATGATGAAAACATTGCAAACTTTAGATCTCATAACGAGACACCAATTATGAAGATTGCCTCTCACATATAGAAGCTAATGGTTAAAATTTATACCACAACTATCTTTTCAAACTTCTTTCAGCTAAAGTTGATGGAGGTCATTAATCTTACTTGTGAAGTGCAAATGGAAGATGAGTGGTATGCACATTTAGTTTGAAAGAATATGTGGTATGTCGCAGAGCTCACATGGTCACATTAAGAAACACCGAGGAGAAAGCAACATGCAGTTGTCATCTATATGAGTAAATGAGTATCCCTTGTAGTCATATGCTTAGAGTGTTTTTTCTCAAAAATATTATTGAGTTACCTCAACCACTATATAGTGAAGGGATGGATGAAAAATGTGACAAAGGGGATTGCTCTTAATGATCGTGGAGTTCAAGTACAGCCCAACTGTGAGGAAACATATTCTATAGATTACAATAACCTATTTCAACGGTGCAACATTCTATCAGTAAATGGATGGGTTTGTTTGAGCAAAGATGGTTATAGATGAGGCATGCAACAAAGGCTTATGCAATACAAGCATCTTCTACCCATGGCAGCCCTACATACACAGGATGCCCTGCCCTTTGTGTGACTCCCATCCTCTCTGTGGCTTCAAATCCACATGTGACTATAAAAGACTCCAATTTATGTAAAGCCAAAGGGTCGGCCTAGCCATTTAAGTTTGAAGCTTAGGCATGAGAGAACAAGTGAAAGAAAGTGCTACGGATATGGAGTTACAGGTCATGATAGGCAAAAATGTCTGTCTTTGTGTATCACATGGTATGATATGTCATTTTTTGTATTTATGAGCTTAAGTTTCTAAATACGGTTGTCTATAAGCTAATGCATTGTATCTATTTTAATAACTCGAGTTTAATTGTGATGAATGTTTTCATGTCTGTTTGCTACTTTTTAAACTTTGAAAACTTGAATAACTACCTTGCTATTTAGCTTTGAGTATACAACCTTTTTCTTTAGCATAAGCATAAACACTTATAATTAAATAATTGTATTGTGAGTAGAACTCAAATAGGTTTTAATCATGGAATCTTTTTCATAGTAGTCCACTATAATTGAGTTGTTTCTCGTTTTCTATTTTGGTATAGGGGTGCCACTATTGAAAGCACAATTAACCCCAAGGGAGTGCGAATAACACCCAAATGATATCTACAATTAATTACATATGCTTTGGATATCTACAACCATAAGTGTTTTGATGCCTAATTACACATTTTTTATATATAATTACATAATCTTTTGATATCTAGTGTGTAGTTTATTTGATATGCAATCATCCCAAAAATATAAATATAATGCCATTTAAATACATGGGTATTTTGTATGAACAAGTAGGACAACTAACTTGAAATTATATAATGATGCCTTATGGACTCAAATGTTGCTCTCTCTAACTCACTCTCTCTCTCTCATATTTTTTGGAGTCTTCATTTTGCTTGTTGATATATAAGGTTCTTCTCTCTCCCTTTGTCACTTAAGTTTTTTATAATTCCATGCATTTTATGTGTAACTCGCTTTAAATTTGCATGTTTAACCAATGTTTGCAGCTTCATGTGTACATATGTACTTTCTCAAAGTCTTTCACAATCAAGCACACGAGACCGAGCCTCCTCTTAGTTGAGGCCATTTACCATTATGAAAGCCGTCTCTCTCTCTCTCTCCCCCGTACATGGATTGCGTATAATGTATTTGGTGTTGTTGTTGCAAAGAGAGATGAATGTGTATTTGGTGCGGCCATTGTGGAAGATCTTTGGAGAATGTAAGAGTGGTTGAGAGTGTTGCTTGAGAACATATATTTGGTGTGGCTATTGTGGAAGATCTTTAGAGAATGTAAGAGTGGTTGAGAGTGCTGCTTAAGAAAATGTATTTGGTGTGGCAGTTGTGGTGAACGAATCTTTTAATATTGTATTTCTCTCTTACGTTTTGAATGAAATTTTTGCTTGAGAATTTATATTTTGTATGTATGGTGTGGAGGATCTTTTGAGAATATAATAGTCTGTTATAACTTTGTAGTCTCATTATTCAATATTGTTGATGATTTATGGCTATCTATACCAATTGATGACATGGAGTTCTTGTTAGTGGACAAGGATTTGAATATATTTCTTTACTTTAGCCAAGTACCCAAAAAGTTCAACATGCTTGTTGTGTAATGTTTTTAAACCCTGTTTCAATGGGCATTCTCGGGTTGATTTGTGTGGGCATGGGGGTGTAGAGCTATAAAATTTTTATAGAGCCAGCACTGCAACTAGACTTGCATAAAAATAGTTAGAAACCTAATGAAAAAATGATTAAACTCTCTATATAAAACAAATTACTTGAAACAAGGTTTCTATCCCATTGAAATGCGTCGGCTCCCTATTCGTGACCTTAGATAAAAACCGATACAGAAAAGCAAGGGCTGCGGCACCTCATGTGTACTTCCGTGCCTTGTCGAAGTCTTGAAACAATTGGAGATATAATATCCATCTCGAATTAGAAAAATATTGGAGCACTATACTAAGATTCAACAATAGCATTCATCCACAAATAATGTCAGTATTTCATTGGTAAATTTATCCAAATATTCCTAAATTTGTCATCGATCTAACAACCAAACAAAGCAAAAATACATACATCCCTTCCTTTAAACTAATATTGTGGCTGGTGGGTAGAGAGTTTAAAACCCCTTTCATTAACAAAAATACTTTTTTATAACTTAGATACTTAAGGATATATACTCTAAAACATATAATAAGCAACAATGAATACCAAAGACGTGAAATAAGTCACAGTTTTTATCCTACAAATTAGCAGTGAAATTCAAAAGAGTTAAGGTCCTCGTAACCTCCATATTAAATAAAATCATGAATTAGGGGCACCCACATTTTCATATTTCATGATTATTGTCCTCAGTTCATTCTTGAATTGCAAGATGCAATTGTAAGGAAAATCTAGGTTTGGCTCTACAACTTCATTAAGTATATGAGTCCAACAAAACATTAACATTGGATCCAATAAAATGCACTTTTGTGACTACTAAATTAAAAAAACACTATACCTAACTGATTCGATGAGTAGTTCCTGATAGTTCACTTATGATAGTGCTCGTTGATAATAGGTATCACCTTCATGCTACAAAATTTGGAACCAAAAAGTATGAAAGTCAGAACAAAGTGTATTGGCAGCCGAAGCACAAACATAGAAGTTTGTTGTCTCTATTTGACCCCAGTTTTTTGAGCCAAATTTGAAATGTTCACAATTCTATAACATACTTTCTTTTTTGACGATGTATATTTTAAACCCCATTTATTTTTTGACTGTTTAAAATATAACCTATTTATTACCCATAATTTAATTTGCCGATATAAATTATTATTGGTATTGTCTTTAAAGAGATCTTTTCATCTTTGGAAAAGCCTATATAGAGCTCTGTGTTTTGATGCCCAAATGTCCTCAAATTGATCATACCGACATCAAGATGTATGGACATGAGAAAAAAATAGATTTCAAGTTTAAGAAATAGTGCATCTTAGAACACATTTTTGGACAGTCAATTTTTAAGATTTCAAGTTTTCATAGATCTGCTCAATCTACAATATTTTTAAAGCATTTAATTTTATAACTAAAGATAAAAATATATTTTAAGGCTATCACGAAGATTTCTAGTATTGAAACCGCATTTCTCGATACTATTTGAAGGTGCGTTTTACTTTGATTGTTTAGAGTCTTAACTCTATACAAACTGCACCTTTTATCTTTTGTTCAATGAGGTTACAATTACTCTTGTCCCTTAAATTTAAAAATGGGTTGTCATAAGAGTATCATTGAATAAACACAAAGTTCCAATCTTTTTTTTCGAACCTCCTGACTCACTCTAAACCATCCAAATTGACATTTAATGAGTGAGAATTGTTGGGCGCCCCTTGTACAAAAGATAAAGGGTCTATTTGTGGGCAATCCCAGCCCCTTGTACAAAGATAAAGGGTCTATTTGCGGGCACAAATAGATCCTTTATATTTTGTACAAGGAGGTCAAAGCAATTCTCAATCATTAGATATTAAATTGAATAACTTGGGGTGAATCACCAAATTTGAGATTTTATTTTTGGAACTCTATGCCTAATCAATAACACTCTTGTAACGACCCATTTTAAAATCTAACAAATAAGAATGATTTGTCATCTCTTGTACAAAAGATATAGGATGTGGTTTCCATAAGGTTGCAACCTAAACAATCCAATTGAGTACTTCTAAAATTTATCATAAACGTAATTTTGATATTTTTTTTTTTAGGATGGCTTGATAATCTATTGTCATCTCTAATTATAAAATTTTAAAATCTAAAAATGATCCAAATCAATTAGATCTATAAACACATAAAAAATCTTGAAAATGGTCGGTCTAGATAATATATTGTAAGATAGCACTATTTTACATATTAAAATTATTTTTTTCTTTTCATATTTATACATATTGAAATCGAGATGACCAATTAAAAGTTTTTCAAGGTTTAAACAATAATTTATGATGGATCTCTTGGACGTACCTTTAATTCTACCGTTGTTACAATCTTATATAAACTTTTTCCCTAGATAAATACAATCCCTTATTATTTTCGACTTACTAAGGTCGGGATTTTAAAGTTCAGACTAAACGCACCCCATCCTTTCCTTGTGAATCTTTTCCCTTGCTAGTCGTCCCTGTCACTTCAAATGAACCCCCTCCTCTCCCTCCACAATCAAAACCCCTCTACTTGAACCCCTGCTCCCTCCCCCTCTCTCTCTGCTCCCCTCTTTCTCGAATTCTGCTCACTCTCTCCTGAAACCCTGCGCTCTCTGTATATCTCTCTTCCCCGTTCTAGCTGTTGAAGCCCTTCTATCTCTTTAAATTCGTCTCTCCCTGCTGCCTTCTGCCTTTTCTCTCTCTCTAAAAAGCCGCTCCCTCCCGCCTCTCTCTCTCTTCTGTTGGTGCTGAGGGACAAAATGGGGAAGAAACGGAAGTTGCCTTCCAAGTCTGCTTCTGCAGAAGACACAGAGGAACCCACAGAAAACAAGTATTCCTTTCCTATTTATTTTCATGTTATCATTTTTTTTTTGGGTTTTTCTTGGATTGTGAACTGTGGATTTTTCTTCTGAAAATATCAGGAGAGCAATAGTGAGAGCCGAAGTATCAAAGAGCAGCAATAATAAGACGAAGAAGAAGCAGAAGAAACCAAAGGGAAAAACTGGCAACAAAGAAGACCCCGACAAACCCAAGAAGCCACCCACTGCTTTCTTCTATTTTCTGTAAGCTTCTAATTTCTCTATTTTGTTTCTACTATGTGGTCATATATTCTTCAATGAATTTAAATGTTTGTTCTTATTTACTTGCACATATTGTTCAAAGGATCCGAATGTTTCTGATTATTTATAACTTTTTCAATTTCCTTTGGATTGTGCTGAAGAAATGGTTATTATTATTGCATTAACTGGAAAGATGGGTTGAGTGTGATAAACACTGGGAACACTATTCAGCTCTATCCTATGGGCAGTTAATTCCTTTTTCAGTATTATTTATTCCTAAAATTGGTTTGCCAGTGAAGTGAATGTTATAGCTAAAATAATTCAGCTCTCTAAGTATAATTTTTCAAGTTTATCAATTATTCCTTTGTTTCTTGAAGTTTAAAATGGTTGACAATAATGGATTTTACCGTTCTGAAGATTTTTAGACTATGAAATCGAAAATGAATCTGAACAATTAGATCTTTTGCATGTGATTTGTCTACACCCATACTCTGTGATACATCATGCTGCTTAGAACTCCGGAGTAGCATTGGGAATTTTTTTTTTTTCATAATATCAACTGGCGCATGGTTTTGATCGGTGTTCAAAAGCAGCCATGTGAAAAAGTCAAAACCTGACTTGAGTGGATAAGTGAAAACCAGTGATAAAATTCGCAAATTGTTTAAAACTTTTCAGCCTTCTTTTTGGAATGTACCTAAACATACGAAAAAAACCTTTCTCATTGTAATTTACAGTTTAGGATATGATTGTACTGCATCATGGGCATCTGTCATGAAATTGTTATCAAAGCATCAAATTTATGAACTTGATGTTATGAAGACTGAAACACCCTATGAGGTCAACTTTCAACAAAAAAAAAAAACACCCTATGAGGTCACTGTGTACTTTATTCCTGTTACAAGGTTTGCATATTTACCTTGTTTCCTATTAGTTTTGACATTGGCTTTGCTACTATTCTCCTATGACTAGGTTGGTGTCTTCTGATTGTTATAATTATGCGATACTCATCACCAAAAGCACACCTAGAGGATTGTCTAAATCTATTGATATTGCCACGGCTAACCTAAATGGAACTGCCCCGGCTGTAAGGGTTCTCATCTCTGGTTTTTGGATCTTCCAAAGTGCACTTTGAACTTAATGAGTAATGTCGACATTGTTTAAAATAACGGAGCATGGGACATTGGGGAGATTGAGCACAAAATCATAGATAGATTAATTGCGTAATGAAGAAACTACTTTCTTTGCATCCAATCCAAAACGTGAGGGCTCCAAAGCATGAACTGAAGCGAATGAGGTGCAACTTTGAGAGAACTCGTAAGCAAGCTTCAAAATACTCTCTCAAAGATTATGAGCAATCTGCGTTTCTGCTGAAGAACTCATTGTATGCCCTGGAAAAACAACGAAAGGAGTATATTTTTTTTTTGTGTGTGTGTATTTTATTTTATTTTATTTTTTTGGGTGGTTGGGGGGGGGATTAAGGGGGATAAAGTGTGTTTAAACAAGCCCTAACTGAACTCGCAACCTTTGCTATATGGCCCTGTATTCCAGAACTTTGAAATCTACGTTCTCCAAAGGCAAAAAACACATTAAATAGTAAAAAAAAGTTGACTTCATAAAGTCTAAAAGTTGGTCAACTTTGGGAAAGTCTCAACTTGTTTGAAAGTTAAGTTAACCCAACTTGAATGTTATTTTCAAGTTGAGCACTCGTTATCTCGACTTTAGTCATAAAAATCAAGTTTATTTGAACCTTTTGAGCCTCGATTTCAGCCTCAATTGCCAAAAATTGGGTGTACTTATTAACTCTTTTGCTCGTTGTCCTAGAGCTATGTTTAATGGTGGTGAGAGTTGGACATGCACCTCAAAAGATAAGCGAAGTTCATGGTTGACACAATAGTGTTGAAGTTTTGTCTGGCCTTAAAGGCTTCAAACTCTCCATGTGTACCTACATTATTTACAATAATAAAAGGCATGTTAAGAACAAAATGGCTTGTCGACACACAAGGTTCCAAAAATGCTAGTTGGCCCCAGGTCTGGCATGGCCTAGGGAGCCTAATGCCTAGATCTTCAGGGCACCTTGAGGTGACAAATTTTAAAGAATATGTATATATGTGCTGTGCAAAGGCACATATATGCAGATATCCGTTGATTTTTTTTTTTGGGTGCATTGATATGTATTCTAACTAACGTTTTTATGCAAATATAAATGCATGAATGTTGAAAAATGTTCAAAACTTCAAATCATTAAAAATTTAGTGAAAATCGTAATTAAGTTCATAGTGTATTAGTTTGCAACTTTCTGTACTCCATGATGGCATAATCCATACTTTTACAAATATGATTGTTATGCACATAGACTCCAAGCCTCCAATAAAAACAACACAAAATGATGCGATATAAGAGATAATATGCAATACAAAGAATGAGGAGATCTTCGATTCTTCCAATCGACAATTTAATCATCTTCATTCATCATCACAATCTTTATCGTCACTTGCATTCCCATATGAGTCTAGGCCATCTTCATGAGAATTATCCTCTTCAACATGTTGGTCATCTTTCTCAGTTTCTTCTGAATCTACTACCTCCTCCTCTATCTACCTCATTCTTTGTGAAGTACCAGCAACAAATGTTGCTTGAGTGGCTCTCCTAGAGTCAAAAGTTGGACTTGAAGCTTCCTCAAGCATACCCTAAGCAAAACCCTCCCCTTGGGTACCTACGTTCTAGGTGGGCCATTTTTTTAAACACTGTTGGCATAACTCATTCATATGCCATTTGATGAACCAAGACGGTGATGATAATTGCTTTCATATGTTGTACTGAAAACCCATATGCAGTACCTAGGTGTTTGAGGGAGGACACAGCTAATAAAAGGCTGAAAAAGAAATATATGTATATATTTCTAATCCCTCATCCCAATCTAACTCTTTCCCTTTTCGGATCGATAAAGGATAAAAATAAGAAGAAAAATAGGAAATGAAAAAAAAAAGAAGAAAAAAGAAAAAAGGGAAAAATAGAAAAAAAAAAAAGGGAAAAGGAAAAAAGGAAAAAAAGAGAAAAAAAGAAAGAAAAAAAAGAGAAGAAAAAAAAAGATTTTTTTTGTTGTTGTTTGTTCTGCCCCTGCTCCTTCCTTTATCTGAGCTTACCTCTCAACGTTTTGTCCCACCCATTGTTTTATCTCTCTCTTCTCTCTGAAGGTTTTTTAACCCCCCTCCACCACCCCTCTCGTTTTTTTTTGTACTTTTCTCTCCCCTGCACCCCTCTCTCCTCTCTTCTCTTCCTCCCTTCTCGTCTTTTCTCCCTTGTTTCTTGATCCCCGTAGGCCTTCATCTTTTTGTCTCCCTTGCTTCCCTTTACACTCTTTCTTCACTAATCATTCAGCAGCATACCAGCATTTCGAAATCCCTTATCCCCTCTATGCCGCTCTATGGGTCACCCTCTGACGCAGCAAAGCAAGCTTCACTATATCTGGCGCAGCGAAGGAGGTCCCCAGCCGTAGGATAAGTAAGCTCCACTATCTCAAGTACAACGAAGAAAGTTCAACACCCTTTGGCTCAACCCTTCTTTCTGCACAGGCCTAGAGACTACCCCTGTATCGAGACCACCCTCTTGCCCTTTGGGACGCTATCCCAAATCTGCCCCCTCTCGCCCTTTTCTTAGCTTCTCTGCACAATTTCTCAATAACCAATCCATAAAGAAAAGCAAATAAATATAATTAAAGTACACACACACACACACACACACACACACACACAGAGAGAGAGAGAGAGAGAGAGAGAGAGAGAGAGAGAGAGAGAGAGAGAGAGAGATCAATTTAAGCAGCATGTATCATACTTTGTTTAATTTCAGCAGCATCATGTATCATACTCTGATAATTTTAGCAGCATGTAGCTCACCTTGATTATAAAAAGAATGCATCGAAATTCATATCATAGAGTATCAAAATAATTCACTGTTGCTCATCTCAGATATAACCTAAACTCCAAAGAAATTTCATAAATTGTTGAGGGAGAGCGCATATCAAGATTCAGAAAAAGAGCTCAAAAATCGCAAGAGAGAGATTCCAAAATGACGAATCGTACAAAAATCTCAGAAGAAATTCAAAGAAATTCCACAGAGAGATACACACGCACAAAAAGCAATTATCATATAACCAAAACCCAAAAAGAAAACGATTGACCTTATGAAATAAATATTGGTAACTACTGTGTGATAACCCCATGACCAAGATTTCTGAAAGCTTTCATAATTACTGATTTTATGTAAACTAAAATAACAACAACGAGCCAAATCAACCTATAACTTTACTGATTTTATGGAAACTGGAGTAACAAAGAAAGGGGCAAATTTGTTGCTCCGAGAGAGAGAGGTAACAAATTTGCTCGCAGAGTTTACCCACACGACTTGCTTGTAGAGAGAGAGAGCAGAGAAGGGAGGCTTGAAGGGGGACAAAGAAGAGAAGCTGAGTTAGCAGCGAAGGGATTTGGGGAAATGACCCGTAAACAATTACCCATCGTGCCCTGTAATTGATTTCTTAACTTTCCCACGCATAATAGTTTTCACGATATATGAGGAAATGGCGCGTAATCTATTTTTATTTCCGTTCTCTTTAGGTGTAGCCAAACATTGAAAATGTTAAATTTCCTTGTAATCTGTTTCCTTGTAATGGATTTTCAGGTATCTAAACAAGCCTTTAGTGTATTAATATCATATTATATCGAATATTAAATGTTTTTTATTTTTATTATCATATTTTATTGTAAATATTATAATAATAATATTATTATTTGAAATATTTATTGATGGAAAAAAGTTTATATAAGGTTGCAACCTCAAAAATCCGTCATAAACGGTTGTTTTGATGTTGGATAACTCTCTACTTGATCATCTCGATATCGAGATATATGAATATGAAAAGAAAAAAAGATTTCAAATCCTAGAAATAGTGTATCTTGCAACCCATTATCTGGACCATCCATTTTCAAAATTTTCATGTGTTATTAGAT